TGACATGTATAAATATAAGAACAAACTGTTTTATTTAACAATTTAATTTTTAACAAATATTATATAAAAGCATTTGCACTTGTGTAAAACGGATACGTTGAATAAAGTGAGAAATTCATTATTTTATTGCGTATTAGTGTCCGCTTAATTTTATCCTCCACGCCGGTATTTTAAAGTGCATTGTCACAAGGCATATATAGGACCTAAGACGATAAAGAATGTCGGGACATCCGAGATTACGGTCAAGTAAGATTTAAAATGACGAATTAAACTGTAGGTTTCGACCTCCGTTTTAACGATATTCAGAAGTCGTCGGACGAGTGTTGGGATTTGGCTTTCTCTCCATACATATGTCGCAATTCCGCAATAAGAACTTTACGACTTGCATTCGGAAAACTTCCACGACACTTGGTCCGCGGTGTCAGCTACGGCTATCGATATATACGAGTTAATTAACAATGTCACTCTCGGCTGTATTATTTTAAACGCCTACTCTGAATGCCTACGCTTTCTTAAATCGTTAAGTTTTAATTATCTTTGAAATTGACATGGAAATAATTCACTATGATTCATATTTTAATTTATGTGAAATATATGTATCGTGTCATTATTTATCATATAAATTTGCGATTTTTTTAAGACAATTTATATGTAGGAATTTAACAACTAGGTCAATAGCAAGCACTCATACTGATAAAAAATCTCACATATTTCAATTCTGCGTATAATTATATTATCAGATTACCTACTCTTACATTTTATCATTTCTGTGATGAAGATAAAAGGCTAAGATGCAATAAAATCACTTGTCATAGCTTGTCAAACCAATTCAAAATATTACTTTTATAACAATATTACAGATGTATTATAATATAGCGCAAATACGATGTGACATCTATAGCTTCACGGAACGTAATCGACAGTTTTGATGATAAGGCGAATCTATGTCAAGGGCGTCACTCTATACGTGTATTGATAAATCGAGCATGACAAAGTAACGTGAACAATAATATTTTTAGGCAATTATCAATACTATCTCTTTATAAGTATAAAAACTGTAAAAGAGATTCAATATTATATCAAACATGACAATTTATATTTAAAATTCAAATTAGTTGTCAATCATTTCATAAAACTATACTCATAATAATTTGACATTTTCCAATAAACCTTTCTTCTTAGAAAATCGAGAGAAAAAGAGAGATATATGAGTTTGCACCTCGATCTATAATTGCGCTCACCCTCGCGCCGACTACGACTTATAATATATCCGACTGCGACTCGTTGTCAGGATGCCGGTTTGCAAAATGATCGTCTATGCATGCAAATACCTGCAAGCGCCGTGAAATGATAATTCGACTCCAGATCGAGGAACGATTCGAAATTAATCAAGCCACCGACGAACCGTGGCGAACGTGCCGTTCCGAGAATAACTATTTTAATTCAATATCCGCCGACTCGATTCATCGAGTCAGTGTCGTCTCGTGGGTCAGAACGATATATCGTCCCTAAAAAATTTCCCCATCGCCACGAAAAATGCACGAAACTAAATCTTCATATAGCTGCCAGATTTGCTCTCTCAATTGAAAAAGATACAGTTTACTGAATTAATGTCAAATAAACACAATTAAGTTTCAGAATTAACATGATTTACTTTAACTATGTCAAGAATAACTGATAGATTCCAATTCTAAAAAAAAAGTCGGTTTTAGTTCACTACACCAAATTAGATTTGTGAGAACAAATGAGAATACGGCGTTTATTCGCAATAATCGGATTCCAAAAATTTTAATTGAAAGATCAAATCTTTCTTATACGCCCGAAATTCTTATGAACTGCGCTATTATCTGCAAATTAACAGAAGCGCACTTATAAATAAATTCGCTGCGGTTCTCCAAAGTGATATCGATGCTCACCACGTCAATCACAACGTCTTATATAGAGATATGAGCAGAGGCATCGACACTCACCATCTCGAATTTAAACATCTCTATCCAAAGAACGATTAGCTTGTACTATCGAGCACGTGCATCGCTGCTCGCGGATGTAACAAGAACGCTGTAGCGCAGCGTTGCGCCTCAAATAGAGCCATTTACCACGCTGCTTTGAATAGCACACGTCGCAGAAAAGACACATGCATGTCGCGGATGTCGCCGTACGTAATGAGAGTGTCGCTCGAAATATTCGCAATTCGTTCGAATGTATCGCTATTTTGCCCTGACCGCTGGTATCGTGCCAGTATCGCGATATTCAATACTCGCTATGGCAGATAACGCATCATTGTTAAGTTATCGCGACAAAACGGCTTTCGACGATGCATTTTATGCATCGTGACAGCGATGCACTTGCCCCGATTGATCTGCACGATCGTAATACTGTCCGCTCGGTTATTATTTAATCGTGTTAATCCAAAATTGTCATACAAAAATTCTACTTTTCTTCCAAAATTATCACTTCGGCGATTCGATAACGCAATCATCTCGTGAAGTTCTCATCGCGTTTTGGAAAAGTGTATAATTTAGATTATATTATGCAATTTGATATCGAACATTTTATTCGATATTTAATCAGCGCAATATAATTCGTTTTATATATAAGATTAATTATACTTTTATTTTTAATAAATATTCTTCTTCGCAGCAACGTTAGATACCTCTGTAATATTTTCATACTATCCGAAATTGTTAAGAGTTTTTTAAATTTATATATTTTAGAATACGTCAGCCTCATTATTCTACATGTAATACAACGGAATTTTGATCTAAAAGATTATATTGACGAAAAAGATAAATACAAAGCCTTTCAGAAATTGTATGTATTCACATCTGAGTGTTTATACGAAAAAATATTGAATATCCTTTATAAAATGGATTATATAAAATTATGCGAAGAACCTCTTGCTTTCCAGAACGAGATGTCTATAATGAGTCGTTTTGATTGCCCGCATTCTTTTGAAATAGGTAAGATATCTTTATGGATTATTCAAACAAGCATATATCTATACAAAGTCTTTTTTATTGAGAGACCGCATTTTCCATTGAATTTAAGAAACAGCACGTAAGGTGTCTCACAAAGATAAAAGATGAAATTGTTCGACAATAAAACAATCTCCTTTTAGCAAGACTTTGACTCAAGATTGAAAAAATCGTTCACGCACTGTTACAAACGCACAAATAAAGAACGCACCACCGACGCCGCGACGTAGCGAAGAAGCTGATGAAGAAGGATCGTCATATCAGGCCACGCCGGCGAAGTGTCGTTTCGGCGGAAATCCGTGCCTCGCGGAATGATATTTCACTGAATTGGCGGGTTTCAGAAACGATCGGAGTTCGCCGCGGCACGAGTTCGACTCGTGCTCGTATCCACTTCTACGGAGTTGGAGGTGTGATCGGAATATAATCGATTCGCGCGAATTATCCCGGAGCGTCTCGCTGCCGGGTTGTCGAACAAGTCCGGCGGCGTTACGCATAACAATTCGATCCGTATTTTCTGAGCCCACGGCACGAGTATTCAACGATCCAACGGCATATTTCCGCCGGTCCTCTTTTCCCGTACCTGTTGATCGTTGTTAAATTGAAGGATTTCTTTGTGCGACGCCGCGAGTCGGCGTATTTTCCATTTTATTTTTTTTAAAAGGAACGGAAAGAGTATAAAACGTCAAGAATTATTGAACTTATTACAGATAATTCGATTGAGAAAGAGATCTAACTTATTTTTATTTAAAATGCTATTCTACAGAATCGATTTATGCGATAGAAAGTTTTGTATCACACTATATAATGTTATATTATGATTATTATTTAATAAATTGCTATAATTGCACTGCAACTCATTATTTATTTCGCTATGTTCATTACATTTCAAGAGCTATGGAGCATTATAACCGATCGTTATTCCAAAAATTGGAAAACTTCAGGTATCGCGTCCGGAAATCGCGTCGTGAAAATTAAGCAGCAGAAGTTTGATACGTAATAAATTCCGGATATTAGAATCATAATAGCTGTATCAATACAGCTGGCGACTAAATAAACTTGGCGTCAGCGTTGGTGTAAACGATACGTTTGAATAATTAATCGATTTTTCTCAGTCGTCGTTTTACTTGTATTGGTTTTTATGTCAACTTTTCAATCGTCAAAAGCGCGGCACAGCTGGAGCGCACCAATGAGAAGCTGCCTTGTTCGAATCATATGCAAACGTTCTATTGCACACAAAATTTGTATGAAAAACGGAAGAACATGTCAGGATCACGATATACAATTCAAAGAAGGGAGAATATCTTTGATATCTCTAAAAAGAAGTAAGAGATTATTTTAACGTCGGCGTCGCACTCTCCACATGTACGAATCTATCGCGACGATTTACGAGAACGATAAGTGTGCCTTCGTCGCGAAGTATGCGTCGATCTTTATCAGCAAATGTAAGTGAGACACATAACAGGTATAATCGCGGTGATTGAACCACACCGGCTATCTAATCGCCCGTGTGTCGCGCAGGGAGTTTCCGAAATGCTTCAGCTGATAAATTCGCGAATATTATACCGCGCGACAGCAAAACCTAGCGACATATATTTTTAAATTTTAATTGATCTTAATTGCGAATAGTTTTAAGAAGAAATATTTCCGTATGTATTTAAGTACGCGATTATAATAGGCAAAATATTAGCAACGCTATATAGTATAAGCTTTCTCTCGCGACAGCGCCATTTTAAAGTTTATCAGTGATAAGTTTTACATTCCCAGTATTATTTCCTGTCGATTAAACAGACACGTAATGTCAATTAAATGTCTCATATGTTCAGTCTCGTCGCTCGGTAGTATTACGAGTAGACAACATATAGAATCGAACCGAAACGCGTTTCGGAGCAACATGCTCCTAAATGCGTTTACGGAGCACCGTCCGCCCCGAGGTGGAATTCTCTGCCGGGAATACCGGTAATTTCGGATCGGGGACCACACGAGATCCCGGTCCCCTATTAAGATCGGCTCACGTCAAAAACTTACCTCGGATGCTGTCACCAGGCCGTCCGCCGCGATCAGCAGCAGGAGCAACGCACTCTTTAGCAACACACGGTTCTTCATCTCGCCGCTGGCCGTCTGTCGCGACCGGCAAGGAGTCACTTCTCGACCTCTTCGCCCTCTTCCTGACTGACCCTCTTTCTCTCTCTTTCCGTCTCTTCCTACCTATCGCCGTCCGTCCCCCTCTCTTTCTCTCTCGATCGGGCACTGCGGGACACCTCAGCGACGGTACATGGCGAGACGGGCGAAGAAAGAATAATTCCTCCAAGGACACCGCGGGAGGAATTTGCCCTCTTGTCCTGCGGATGACGCTTCGTCGGAGAGCCTTCTCTTCGGCGGTCCTCGCGGCTTCTCGCGCGCGCGAACGTCCGCGGGGCGCGCGGGCGGACGAGATGGACGGAAGTTGACGACGCGACGGGAGGACCGACTGATGGGACCGGAAATCGCGGGCGCACGACCGGGATTTTCTCTCTTTCTCTCGCTCTTTTTTTTTTCCTTTCCTTCTTCTCCGTTCGCTCTCTTTGCCAGCAACTTCGTCGCCGAGGAGGCCCGCGACCACGCCGTGGCCAACAACGCACCGTACCGGCGTTCGGTAGCGTCTGAGAGGCCGAGCTCACCGACAAGATAAAACTTTTTCAAAAGCCCCCGTGGTCCGTGGTTTTCCCTCTCCTCTCTGGCGCCGGGTCCGGCTCTTTCTCTCTCGCCACTCGTTCTCCTCGTCCCGCGCTCGCGGCCCGACTTCCTCTTTCTCCACGTTGGATTCTCTCTCCACCGGGAGGAGAGTTCGTCTTTCCCCCTCTTCCCACTCGCTCCCTCTCGCACCGTCTCTCATTCTCTCTTCCTCCCTCTGCCTGTATTTTGCCGACGCGCGATCTCGCGGTCTCTCCCACCGCTCAGCACAGATCGGCACGTTCTCTCCCTCTCTCCGGATTCTTTGATCCGCCGTCTCGCTCCATCGGAGTTCTCTCCCACCGGTCATCTCTCTCCCTCTCTCCCTTTCTCTTCCTCCTTTGATCCCCACCGCCGCACGCGGTGGATATGCGTCTCCCTTGGTCCAACGTCCCCCGGGATTCTCTCCTCGTTTGCACCGTGGTCAAAGTTGCTCCCTGCCGCTGTAGCCGCCGTTGGACAGCGGGGGGAGATCGCTTAGGATAGGAGGCGGTCGTCTCGCGGGCGAAGATCACGGCTGCACGTTTTTCACGCCAGCGCTTTCCGCTACTTAGGGATGCTTGCGATATACTTCGATACCATATCGGAATCATATGTATTGTCGGTCTATTACCGATATAGAACATCGATATTTTATTTTTAGCTGAATGGTATCGCTAATTGCGAAGTCAGTAAATCGAAGCTTAATCGCATAACGCTGTTTGTCAAACAGTTTTTCGACTGAATTTACAGCAATTACAACAGAAAGATAAAATATAATATGCGAATAAATGATACATATGTAAACCAGCGCAATTTTTAACAGATACAATCATCATCTTGCTTTAAACACGCAACTTTTTATGTATGCGACATATACAACTTGTCTCCTATCTGAATTGTGTCAGTCTATCGAGTCCGCTTATAGTTATGGAACGCTTGAAATCTTAAACGTATTTAACATTGAAAAATACATGTAAGAAGTTCTCGTGACTCCGATCGATAGTCTATTATTGATACGCAGTACTTTTGGCATCATTTGCTATATGACATATGCTTTTAACTTAATTGGACGTATATAATTTATATCTTTAATCAGCAATCAGTAATCTCGAATAAAATATTCTTCAAAATCGTATTATAAAGTTAATTAATGTTAAAATTGGAACTTTAATCGAACTAGGTTTTTAGAATATAAATGGCAATGATACCTTGACCTTTTGTTAATTTCCAGCGAATTATAATCTACCACTGATTTAATTGTCAAAGTAGTTAATATCAAAAATTTAATTATTGCAGAAATGAAGATAGAATGTTTTACCAACTGAAACTTTGAACAGTTTATTTCAAAATTCGGTAAGAAGTATTATCGTATACGATTTGATATATATGCAATATAGGTATGTGAATGATTTTATGACAAATTCTGTATAAAACATGTGTTATCAAGTTATTTTGCGACACATGCGTAATGTGAACCTATGTTTTGCGCAAAATATAGCCAGATGCGAAAGAGCGCCGCTTTTAATCACCAGTCCGCTGTGTCACTGAAAAGAGCACGAGAAAAATAACGTTTCCTCATGTACTCGTAACTTCGAAATGGCTCTTTCTCTCTCGCGTTTCAGCAAGAGACGCAAGGAAGATGATCTTTTTTAAACGGGTCGAGCGTCACCATGCAAGCAGTCACTCCCCCGCCGCCGTTACTCGCGCTCCATGCATCCCATTCTGCGTTGCATCCGTTTTGCGGCTATCCGACGAACGAGATGCATCTGTTAGCATGTGCGCGAAATCTCATGGTATTCTCGGTATAGATTTAGGCCGAATATGCGCGCGATGCCTCCGCAGATCGGCGATGCCCGACGACCGATGCGATAATCTTGAAATTTGCGACAATTATATTTTAAGATTTGCATGCACTTATAATTAAACGTATTATTAAAGAATTTTATCAAGTGTATAAATTGATTACACTATGGTTGCAAATCATTCAACACAATAAAAACTTCATATTACACGGAATGCAATTTTATACATCAGTATATACTCAGTCATTAACATCACAACTTATATATATCTCGTTATTATTATTTTTAGATATATTATAGAAGATATTTATAAGTATATAAAAAAACTCCTATCTATATATAATGTGTTGCAGATATATAAAAACTTCTAAATCCTTGTAATTTTAATGTATAATTGTATTGTATTTTCTAATTATTTATTTGATCATAATGCGGCTCAACACTTCACTCTGTAATATCTCCTAATCATGGTAATCCACAGAATGTAAGTTAATGTTAATAATTATCTTTTACCTATATACATAAAGTACTGTTTCTCGGTGTTTGCAACTATAGTATGCAAGAAAATATCGTGGTATTGCGCCAGGATTGCGTTTAAACTAAAGGAATGTTTGAATGTGATCGAGCAACAAATCGTCGAAGTCTCGCTGACAAGGATTAATCCTCCCGATCGTAAAATTAAGATACACGGCACATGAATCGTGTAAACAGGCACGTAGAAGAGAATCGCGAAAGGGTGCGAACGCCGAGGCTATCATCGCAAGGTTATTGATAATACCAAAATAAATCGCAGGAGAAACGTAACAAATCCCGCTGACCCGTTGATTTACGATGCGACAGCCGTATGGTCCACGATCACATGTGCCTCTCAAGTATCGAAGACGATCGTCCCATTTTTTTCGTATCCACGATTTCGCTTTCCGCTTATTTGCCGAATAACACGAAAACCGTTATCGTAACAGTTGTTATGACGATAGAATTATGATGATAGTAGCATGATAACAAACATATGCGTAATGTGCGTAATCTAAGAAATGTGTAATGTGTTCGTCATCTTGTGAATTAAGCTTTCACACAGATACAACCTTTATTCGCACGTTTCGCGAACAGAGTGATATTTCTTATTAAAAAATGAGATAAATTCCTTCTCAAATATTTTTCGAAATATCACATTTTTTTATAATTTCTTTAATTTTCACATTAAATCTTGAAAATGAAAATTCTATTAAATTTCACGTGAAAAACAAGATCTTATTACTTACTAGTTAGAAATGGATTTAACGTGTCTTTTTTTAGAAAGGAATTTGTATTTCTGAAGTATAGTTTGTCAAAACAATTTCTTTTACTAAATCCATTTCAGATAATTGTAATTTGGAACAAAATTAATTTTATGTGCTCGGTAATGAAACATTTGAACAAAATATACACATACATATATAAAATATATGTTAGAAGTTAATTAGATTATACAGATACGTAATAAAATTACACTATATATATAAAATTATAATTAACACCAATCCTGAAATCTAATGCAAATTATAAGTAGATCGTCTAAAATAAATTATTCACGATATGGATATGCTCATGTAACAAAAATTATTTTAGACATAATATCGAGTATACATATTAAATATACTCGTCTTACAGTATGCAACATATTTTATATGCAAAGATCTCAAGATACTAACTTATTTAATAACATTTTAACGAAAAGAAAAACAGTTAATAAGAAAAACTGAAATATCTCGTAAAAATTGTTCATACTTTTAATGACGAAAGCGAAACTGTCAAGTCGAATGAAATTCGTATAAAAGCATATGGAAATTATTTAGATGTTACTTCGAATCAACAAAGCGAACGAAGCAAACTTATTATCTAAATTTCTAAATTATGAATGACAGCATTCGCGCGAACTAATATAGAACAGATTGTAGATTGAAATTGAGTTTACGGGAACAAGAAGCAGTTCGAATAAACGTACCGATCGAAATTGTTTTGCTGCTCAAATTATGGCTCAAGGAAACTATTTATGGGGTCAATTTGGTTACTCGTCGAGTAAAAGCTCCAGGAACGTTAAAGATACCGTCCACCAGACGTCTTGCGCTCGTTTATTTTTATTAAGCACGAAATTGTTAGCGAATATCTAGCGCATATTTGTTTATATCGGGATCCTTAAATAGCAGAAACAATCGATTACTATGATAGATCACAGTTTACATCGTTCCCGAGAATGAGTCATTCGCTTTTAACCATAATTTTAAATAAATGTGATTAAATTAAGTAAAAAAAAAAAAAAATTGGATAAGATTTGAAAATTATATCACATACACGGAGAATATCTCATCATAAAATTCATCAAGCAACACGATTGAAAAGATCACGCGATGTTTAGAACACTATGTTTGTCATCAGTTCCAATTACATATTATTTTATTATCATACGTGTTGTCGATACATGTGGTTACGTTATACCATCGTCAGTTAAACATAGTGAATAGCAAAATCTATGTATTGCAACGTATCCTCACTTTCGCTCACGGTCGGGGGCCCGATTCTCTAACGACAAACGTATGCGTAAACTCGGCTCTAACAGAAAAACTGCAAACTTATTGGCTACAAACTATGCGAAAGCCAATCAATTTGCAGCCTTTCTGTTAGAGCAGAGTTTGCGCATACGTTTCTCGTTAGAGAATCGGGCCCCAGAAATCATCTCGATTAAGTAAAATAACAGCCAGATTTGCACGTCAAAATAATAAAATTAATGTAGCAACAATAAGCGACAAGAATCACATGTAATAAAAAGCCAGTCCAAATATTTCTCATTGTTTATGTAAGTACAATCATCTGATTCTAGAACTACACACTTCTTACATTTTTAGCTACATCTTCGATGCAATCAATATTATCGTCAAGATTTTTACTAACGTTAAACAGATTGAGCATAACAATCCGCATCTTTATACAACTTCTGCCTGCAAAATACGGGAGCATGGAATAACAACGAACATGGAATAAAAACAGTCGGAGTTTGTTAAAACCTCATATGCAGTTTACTATTCTCTCCCGAAAATGTGCAATAAATTATTATATTTTACCTCAAAATAAAAATCTCTTTTATGCTAAAAAAAATTATTTGTTTGCATCAGGATAATATCATATATAAGTATATGCATGTCGGTATATCATCTTTCAGAATATTAAAATTTGCGCGACATAACGAATAGGTAAACGTTTTTATCCAATCATCATTTTTCTCGAAGGATATACAAATTTATCACGTCTTTTTTATTTATGCTTTTCTCTTTTCAGACGGCCATGGAAAGAAGATTATTTAAAAAATGTTAAAAACACAAAAGTGTGTGTGTATATATTTAGGAAAACGTCGATATAATTATTAATTTCTTTAAATCGTTTTATTCTTTAAAATAAAATTTAAAATTATTTTTAAAATTATTATTATTCTTTAAAATAAAATTTAATTTTATCAATATTTTAAAAATCTAATGGAAAATTGAAATTTTACAAAAATGTTTAAAATATATTACTTTAGAAGATTTTTCAATCTACATTTTTTTAAATGTTTTACCATTAATCGATCGTGTATATTGTGAAGAAGCTTTACTTTTTTATGCGATAATTCAAACGGCGAAACTGTCTGATCAGATTGCGAACCGCGTAGCGTGTTAATTAAATCACATTAATTAGCGAAAAATAAGCGGCTCGCAAGTTTTTTTTATGCTCTTTCTCATAATCGATATATACTTAGGCTGCAACGAAGAGTACAAAAGCTAAGAATGCACAAGCTAATTATAATATTATGTGATCGCATACAATAATCACTCATAGTTATAATAGTAGTCCACGTATGCAAAACAATACAAATCTTGCAAGATCTCTTGACATAACAATCTGTAGTTAAATTAATGTCATTGTTAATCAGAGTGTAAACATTTCCTTAAATGCACAATTCCTCATTACTGCGTCGTAATTAAGTAATAGATCAGCGTGTACGGCCATGTAATGTAATACTATTTTATTCATGCAATAAACATATAACCAGTCCTATCCATCCCTATCACAAAACTGAATCATAGTAGGAAACAAAATCTTACTTAAGGTAAATGTATCACAAACATTGTGTCTGATGACCAGATTAATGTTACAAGAGAAAAAGAGTGATAAAGATGAGCGTGACTAGTATATTGTTACATTATCGTCATTACAAAAGTATTAAACTTATGAAATCTACTACACGCAGTTCGGTTAGTTCTTATAGGACTTGACTGCAAAAACCTGTTAAACTAACGATTCTATAATTATCGCAATGTCAATTCATCGGCATATGCAAGAGATATTACGAAAAATTATACTTGAAAAGATTTAATTATACTACTTCAGTTATTCTACAGAATATTTTATACCTTACAAAAGTTTCAAATGTTCGAAACCGATATTTCCTGAACCAGATCTTTGTGAATCTTCAGTTTTTGGCATGTGGTACAAACGTTCGCGTTGTCATTCTTGTGCAGAAATGCGATAATTTATTATGAGATTAATATATATTTTACCATAACCGATATTTTTATAACAAATACATGATATTGGATTTCACACTCATACGCGTAGTGCGATTTTCGTAATAATGAATTTAACACGAATATTAACAGATTAATTATATGAATAAGTATGTATGCTCTTTTTTACGAGGTATATATAACAATTTTTAAAAACACGATGTAAAATATATCACATGAACGGCGTTAATAACAGATAGTTAATGATGATCTTCGCAATTCGATATAAAGCGATATAATATAGTATTAATGCAATGTACAACTTGATAAACTTCCATTGTAAAAGTCGAGATGAAAATCATAAATAAATATTATATACAGCTAAAATATAATATACTCATATGTAATAATATCGAAACATTATCTATTTATCTCCGAATATCAATGAGAACGTAATACAATGTAATTATTTATATTAATATTAATCTTATTTGAAATAAAAATATAATCTGTTAAAAATATTATATCCATTAAGATTAAAGATGTATTATTACAATAATTAAGCTTTTGTGCTTCTCACTTGTACAGTCACTGATGTATTAATAGTATTTATATTAAATAGTATATTTAATATAAATAGTATTTAAACTTTTATATGTGGAAGTACTTAACGTTTAATTAAATTTATAAAATATTAGCATATGCTTAAGATAAATAATATAAATGTCTTCGAGCCTTCTTTAAAAAATCACTAGTAAAGAAAGATGCTAAGTGATTAAGAGTTTGATGATAAAATTCAATTGAACAAAGTCAGCACATGATCAGACTGTAAATTTTTTGTCTTACTAAAAAAGTACATGGTATATTCATTCTTATAATACTGTAAATGTGATCTTAGTGTTATGCAGACTGTCTCGCATTGATAATTCCAAGCTACGTGCTGCAAGTTTTAATATATATGTAAAGATATTAATTATAATTATTTAAAAAAATCTTTCAGTCCTTAAACGCAATATTATCGACAAAATTATTCTCTGGAATGCTGTGTTCACAATACTGGAATTTTGTTTCGACTGCAATGTATACCGTAAGTCAATTTCATTTAATCATCATTTGCTTTTATTACAATGTATCTGTTCAGTTGACAAGCACGATAATAATGTAATTGGTATACGACTTCATTGTGCTAAATAATGGCAGGTTAAGCTGAAAAAATATCTCAATATAGCATTATTTGTAAAACTTATCTTCTCATAGAAAAAATGAAAGATGTAGATGGAAGAAATTATCCTTAAAATTTTGTCGAGTCAAATGATATCACTAGTATGCATTTTGCTCCGTCATACAAAAGATTTGTAAAAATTTGTAGTTACTTTTTTAAGAAACACACAAACTTGTATAGATAAGCGAAAAATGTTATAAAATTCTCATGTTATTATTGATGCAGTTAATAAAGCGTACTGAGTTTTTCTTTTTCGTTGTTAATACACAAGATATGAAAAATTAAAACAGTCTTAAAATGAATGCAGAAATATGGCCAGCTCGATAAGTATATGTTTTATCTGTGAATTCATAGGTCTCTTTATAAATTATGATTTTTATAAATTATCAAAAAGTTCTTTGCGTCTTACATGTGTACAACTGTGTAATATTTCTCAATACTTGTCCAATAAAGAAACAGAAAAGGAACCTCATTCATTTCATTCAATTCATAGCCATTAGCACAGTATAAATTAAGAGCCTAACAAAACTTAAACTTTTTCTAAAGCTCCGATCGCTTCGCCATTAGCCATTCTATTACTAGCTTTGTGTCGATGATTGTACATAGTCTGCAGAGGTACATGGAGTAACTCCACAATCTGTATAAAGTTAGGCTCTGCAACAAAAGCAAACGGACAAATAAGTATCGCACGGCACCTTCTTCGACAATTTTTAGACCGAACAAATCACATCTTACCATTCTCTGCTGTAATGTATCCATGTCTAATTAAGAAGTCAAGGGCAACTGGTACAGAAGTGGTTTTGAAATGTGGGGAAAGTATCCTCTCTAAGCATTCACTAACGGGGAGTAATTCGAAGGTCTCCACTTCTCCGTCGCTATTGTTTGGTACGAAGTCGGGCGGCAGTTCAAGATCATATACAAATTCCGTATTGGGAAACAGACCCCTCTCACTTTCGAAGAAGAACGATACGCAGCCGGCGCTCTTAAGTTTGGCAATAAGATGATTCGGAATGCCAGCTTCCTCGCCGGCCTCTTTTATCGCGGTTTCATTTATACCGTAACCAACACTCAATCCACCGCTCACCATGCTATCCCAGTATGACGGCCATGTTTGTTTGTCCGGACTACGCTTTTGTAACCATATTGACAAACCTTTGACAGGGTCCATTACATAGCCGTTTATATCCACTCCGTATTTCCGAATTCCAAATAAACCTGCCATATCAAAAGGCACATGTAATGTACTGCAATTAATTTTATGCAATTTATCTTTATTCTCTTTGATACCTACATGTAGCCGAGCGATCCATCTTAAACAACGGTTGTGTATTAAATTGTGCACGCACTTCATGACATTCCTCTCTCCAGCCTCGTAATGTCACAAATTTTCCACTAGCCATCCATTCCCTCAACACTTCATCGACCCGCGCACTTCTTTCAGTGTAATCCCGAAAGGCTGGATTTAATTGCACATATTCGGGATGTACTTGAAACACCTTGAAAATTGATGTTTTGCATTGAATATACACGTTTTAACTTATATTAATGAAAAGATTATACGACAAACTCACTTGAGGATGATTCAATATCTCTTTCATCACATCTGGACGTACAAGTCCAACTTGCTGTCCATCGACAACAAAAGCCCTGCATTCTCCTGCATGTAAGCCTAAGGAATAAATTAATTCTTTCATAATTTATACAAGTATCATAATTTTGTTCCATATGCATCATCAAAAACAAATATTTATGACAAAAAAAATTATTTAAACACCATTGCAAAGTTATGTTTGGAAAACGGAGCGACGCATGCATCCGACGCAATAAATTTACATATTTTACGCAGGGATTCTAAACGTAAACTTAGCCAGGCAGTCGCATTTCTCTCGGAATTAAGCTACGTGTCAAAGTTTCCGCGATATGCGACGATCTCCCTAAACGAGCGCATTCAAAACAAGCGTTAGGCATATATGTCGTTAGAAAAAAGCGGAAGGTGATTTTTGCGGCAGTTATTCGGGAATCGCGACCGCCGTCGACGAGGCGACGGGGACGCGGCGGAGGCGCGTCGATAATCGCGTCCGCGGTCGCGATACGCGGTCGGGATTCTCGTCTTTTTTTTCTCTTCCTCTTCTCTCCTCCCTATTATTTTTGCTCCGAAACGCGAACGGTAAATACATACACGACGCGAAGATCGATATTCTCGGCGGTCGCCGCGCGTACGTCGGCCGCCGCGTCGTTACCTATCGATCACGCGGCCGGGAGACGCGTCGTCGGGGACGATACGTGGGCGGCGGGGGCGTGACCCGTCGCGTACGCTTACCTGACAGGTAGAAGCAGTTAAACTTGTTGGCGAGTTTCATTAAACGTGACATCGGCTTCTTGTCGTTATCCGCCATGATGTTACGTCGTTGTCATCCGGCCAGCTGCGACGAAAATCCTGGGCATCGAGCACATAACGCGTGTCAGACGGGCGCCTGGGAACTGTGCCTGTGTGGTTATCGCGCACCGCTGCGCCCCGCGGGGGCGACGGCCGCCGCGATTGGTCGGCCGGCCGGCGCGCACGCGCCACCAGCCAATCAGCGGGCGTCGCTCTACGCCGAGGCGCCGAACGCCGCCGCGCCGCTACGCCGCAAGCCGCCGCTCGCTCGTTCAATCCGGAATCAATCGCCGCGGCACCAACGGACGGGGAAGATCGACGCGCAACCGGCGCAACGACGAAATATGGAGGGAACGCGAGAATTTCGATTGCGGAATCAAGCGGAAGCGACCGCTCTCCCCGCGGCTGCGACCCGAGCCCAATGTAATCGCTTTAATTATTCGTTTACTTATA